CCCCGCCTGGGCGGGCTCCGGCCGGATTAACGGAGGGCCCCATCCGCCAGCGGCTCCGCACCCTTCCCGTGCCATTTAGGGCAACGGAGACCCAGGGTGCCCAGGCTGTGCATACGCTGTGCATACACTGTGCATCCGCTGTGTGTAGGTGCCACAGAGGAGCTGGAGCTGCCGTGCTCTCCTTTGGCTAAAGTGACAATTTCTGGTTTGTGTCCCCGTTACAAACACATGGTTTCCGATACAGACAACTTTTTTTCCTCCAAGTGACTGTGCAACTTCGCCTCTTCTGGGCCCCAGCACACAGCACAGCATCAACATGGATGAAGAATACCCTGCCTGAGCTGAGAGAAGAAAAACTCCCGCCCCAGCCCCACCAGTGTAAGTCTGGAAAGCTCGGCTGTGCTCGCTGGACTACTTCAGGATTTGCCAAGGCATTCATGAAAGCTGAATTTAGCCCAAAATTCAGGAAAGGGGAGCACATTCAGCATTTGCTTCCCTGAAAGGCTCAAGTTTGCCAACTTCTCTTTAATACAAGAGGCCAAGCCTGCGGCGTCACTACTGACTCCGGTGGCCACATGCCAAGGCCGAGGTTGCCTGGGTGCCCGCCTGTGCCACGGCAGGGTGCCATGCATGGGGGTCGGGGAGCACCCCCCACCTTTGTGCCTGTATCCAGGCAGTGGGGAGTACTGCTGCTCCTCCCCAGCAACTCATCCCTCAGAAATACCACTCTGCTCCCTTCAGAGGAGACAAAAGGCACCATTTCTGTAGCCAGGAGCTAAAACAACAGAAGTAACAGCAGCTGCCTCTCCTCTGCAGGTTGGGCTGAGGCGACTCCAGAGCGAGCTCTCCCACTTTGCCTGGCTCCCGCTGCCAGCAGCTCCTGCTCTTAGCACACGCCCCACTCCCCGCTTTGTCCCAGCAAGAACAGATTTCCCCCCTCCGTCACCCAGAGTGTGTGCCTGGCCCAGGAGAAAAGCCTTTCCCTTTGGGCTGGGACTGTTCACCACCATCCCTCCCTGAGCACATCAGCCTGGGCAGCATCTCGGCTGCCTCCTGGGGAGGGGGTCACCCACAGCATGACTTGCAGGAGTCCCGGGGTCCTGCTCCCAGCTGCGACGCCACCCGACAGGCATGAGGGTGCCCTACCACCTTAACACACACACACATACATCTTGGAAAATTAAAATCTTGTTTCTCAGGTGCCCATCCATAATGACCACCCTGGCTGCTGTCCATTGAGGTGCCCATCAGAGGAATCAGCAGCTCAGCATCCATAGCACCATCGCTCTGATGCTAAAAGACATCAGAACCATTTCCACTGGACTGAATAATTTACGTCAAGCATGACACACAGATGGATGACAAAGCCCCCTCATTTCCCTCCATTCAGGATTGCAATGCCGTCATACCACCGAGTATAACTTTTCACAACTCCCTCTTCAGTTTTCCACCAGGATTCTTCTCCCCTGCCTGCTTTGCTGGGACCTGCACAGGGGACAGGAGCTGGGCAACAGAGGAGCCCCTGGCTCAGCCCACCCCAGCCCTGCCAGCCCCGCACACCTCACACCTCTGCCCCTTCCCAAGAGGCTGCCAGCTCCAGCTGCTTACCTGCGAGCTGCTCATGGGCTGTTTGGGGCACAGAGCTTCACCAGACCCCTGTCAACACATGGTCTCTCCTACTAGTCTGGGTTTTTTTTTTAAAAAAAAAAACACAAACCTGAAAGAAATGACACAGTATGTAAGGAAGAAAGGTAGAATAAAAGTTGCAGAGATATCAACAGTCTACAGAAATGTAAAACTTTGCTTCCCGTTACTGAATCCACCCAGGGAGAAAGGGTGCCCTCTGACCCCAGAGCTGCCTGTGTAATACAGCATTTGTGCTAGGTGTATCAGAGAATCATTTAGGTTGGAAAAGACCTTTGAGATCATCAAGTCCAACTGTTAACCTAACACTGCCATCCCACCACTAAACCATGTCCCTAAGCACCTTGTCTACCTGTCTTTTAAATACCTCCAGGGATGGGGACTCCACCACCTCCCTGGGCAGCCTATTCCAGAGCCTGACAACCTTCTCATTGAGAAAATTTTTCCTAATGTCTAACCTAAACTTGCCCTGGTGCAACTTCAGACCATTTCCCCTTGTCCTATCACCCGTTACCAGGGAGAAGAGACTGACCGCCACCTCGCTACATCCTGCACTCAAAATACATTTATAACAGCGTGTATGTAAAATCCAAGTATTTCCAGGGCAGTTTTCCTTTGTCTTGAATTCCTTGTCTTCTGATCTGTTGCAGGCAGGTGAACCTCACCCTCGCGTATCATTTTCCTCTCTTTTTTGTTTTAAATGATGCAGCATTTTCCCCATGCTAGACACCAACGTTCTGCCCTCTTTCTCTTAGGGAGAATGGGAGTACACTAAATAGAGTCCCACTCAAGTAACTTTGGCATGAGAGTAGAGAGAAGGCTATGAAATCTCTCTTTAAAGCCATTTGTCGCAGGAATCCCACTTCTGCCTTACTCCTGGGTTCATGACTTCGTTCTGGGTTCATGACTACTCCGTCCATGCCCACCGCCAGGGCTGTAACCCCACGCTGCCTCACCCCTCCCAGCCCACCCTGGCACAGGCTGCAGTGACCCAGCGAGCTAACCCACCTGCAAGCTCTCTCTGTGCTGCTTTCCTAGCTGACCAAACGTTTCCTCCAGCTCTGAAAAGCACTGGCTAAGTTTCTAGCATGCTAGGTAAGGTTAAATAATCACCCTCACAGATGTAAAATATCACAGTATGATTTATTAAAAATTCCAAAGTTTTACAGAGCTTATGAAAACATGGAGCAGGGGGCGTTGTAAGTGTCCAGTGAAATAAGTGTCCTGTTCAGCTTTCTGCAGGTTTAGGTCCCTGAACCAGAGGGTACGTGAGCATCACTTCCAGGGCAACACTGGCTGTGAGGGCGCGGAGGCACAGAGCAGGGGCTGCCCTATTCCCGCCTGCAGCTCTTCCAGCCAACTCAGCTGCACCTTCAGACTTTCCCAAAAAACTGGGCTTTGCCGAAGCCTGAGCTAACACCCAGTGATGGCACCGCTCCCTAGCCCCACCAGGCTGCAGACCCCACCAGGCTGCAGAACCCACCAACCAGGCTGCAGAGGGGTGGGTTTGGACTTCCCCAGGTGCCGCCGCTGCGGCAGTGCCGCGTGGGCTGTGTTCAGCCAGCACATGTGCAAGCACTGGACACCCATGAAATTGTGCAGAACCCCCCCCACAGGGAAGCTCTGCTGCTGCCCATCGCCCCCCACCTCTCCCTGGGCTGCAAGGGGCCGTTGCCTGTCAAACCTGAGTTATGAACTAAGAGGAGGCGATGCGAAAGCACTCTACAAACAAATTCACACTTTTGTGTAAAGCAGAATTCAGCTATATTTAAAGAGAAAACATGTCTTTGTTGTGCTGTTTGGAAGGTAAGCATGATCAGATTTGGCTTTTCTTTTAACAATTTCATTCCTCTGTCACTCCCTTCCCATCTCTTCCCCTTTGAGATTTACTGAATCTTACTTGAGAAAAGGAAACCGATGATCAAGATGGGAGTTTATTTCAGCATCTGTTGCTGAAACATTAGTTCATTTCTCTGTCCTTGCTACTCTCCAACATTCAGCAGTTCCCTCCAAAGACCCTTAACTTGCCTTGTCTTCTGTTAATTAAAACCCAATTAGGATTGCCTGCTGATAACTGCACACTGGTCTAACAAAGCCTGGCCTGTTGCTGGGTTTATTTTTTTAAGTGTCAGATGAAGAGGCAACAGCAGGTCTTACTGGAGCAGAAACATAGCTCAAGCTATTCTCTGCAAGTGTTTGCTTTTTGCATGTACTGTGCTAATTTGCAGAAGAGGTCTCTCTACAAGTTGTTTTCTTCAAAAATTTTTTTAAAGAATACTCTTATGTTTCACATATTGCATAAAATTGACAACATTGATAGCTTTTAAATACCAACAACAGGGGAAGCGAGAAGGAAGGCACAACTGTGTAAGCACTGTGACCATGCCACTACCTTGTTCCAGTACGCCCTCCGGGGGCATCCACTTCATCCAACTTCTAACCCCACCTGAAGATGTCACTGGCTATTTTTTAGCCAGCTCTAGGAGTCATATGGCTTATTCACATTCATTGCACAACAAGCCTCTAATGTATCCTGCATTAAAAAAACCCCAACACCTTTCTGTTAATGCAGTGTTATTTTTCCTGATTTCCCTGCAGCCCCCTTAGCATTGCTCCATGGAAAGTCAGTGTCTGCCTCGGTGAACCCACTACTGAAATGTTGTCACAGCCACAGAGGTAAGCTGAGCATCAGTGGTCACAGCACGAGGTGGCACGATACACACAGAAGTGCTCCGCTCTCGTTTGGAAATGAGGAGCCCATCTGGCAGGTTTGTTTTCAGTCATATAAAAAATTCCTCCTCATCATCCTCTGCTCTGTTTGCAGGGCTGGCTCGTGGTGGTTGCGAGTGGAAGCCCAAAGCTGATTGCCCTGCTCCTTTGCTCCTTTTGGCTGCAGCAAAGAGCAGCTGGGTCCTGTCCTGGGAGGGCAGGGCACAGCCGGCCCTGTCCGTGGGTGCTCGCGGCCAGAGGAGGCTGCTCCGCAGGTCCCTGCAGAAGTGGTTCAGTGGGCAGCGGCCGCTCGCAGGATTCGCCACGGTGAGCCCAGTGTCGACGTTGGTCTCCGCTGCCTGCCCAGGAACACGGCTCTCCTGGAGGGAAGTCTGCAACTTGCTGCTCACCTGTCTGCAGAGGGAGGTGGCATCCCACCGCAACGGGGCCGCTGGGCCGCTGCGAGAAGAGCAGAAGCGCCTGTGGAGGTCACCACCAGCTTGCTCAGGAGTAAGGGCTTTGCTTTGGTCAGATTTTGTTTTACCCTTCATGGCTGTCACCTCCCGGCTTCTCTGCCCAGGATTACCCCACTTTACAGGGAGAGGGGCTGGCACAGAGTCCCGCAGGATTTTTTCGTTGCCTGCATTATTATGCTGATGGCAAAGCCCAACATTTGTTTCACGGGGCTTTGAGCTGTCTTGGACCTGTTGAATAAAATGTGGAGAGAACCCCATTAATGAATCGTTCTTGCTTCACTAGGTGATGCTCTCACCCAGCCTTGCTGTGCTGTGGTAGTCACCTGTGGCGCGAGTCTGGCAGCCCCTAGAGAACAGCACAGGATTCTTACGAGCCTGAGCAATGGCAGATGAAACGATGTAGATAATGTGATGCACATGGGGAAACACAGCCCCAGCTTCACATACAAAATGCTAGGCTGTGCATTGACCGTAACCCCGCGGTCTCATTTCTGCAACAGACAGCACCATGTTAGCAGCAGTTCGGTGCCTGGCAGCAGTCTAGAAAGCAAATGAAATCTTAAGAATTATTCCAAACAACACTGAGGTGGTTGTTATGCACGGTGCAGCTGTGGACCGTGGTGTTTGTCCCTCAACCGCAGTGCACAACAGCATATCATGGAGCTGGAAAGGCTCAGAAATGGACAGCAAGGACAACTGCAAGTACAGTAAAGGAACAACCACATATGCTGTGAATCTTAAGCCTGGGGGAAAAAAATCAAACCGTTTGGGAGGGACAGGGTAAAAGGCTATAAAACCATGAGCCATCATGGAGAAACAGATAGGTATTGTCTGTTCCCTGCCATCTGCAATGCAAGAAGCAGAAGCCATCAAATGAAGCCAGGGTGGAGCCAATTTCAAATATGAGCAGGTGACAGTGGGCCTGGGGAGGTCCCTGCCAAGGTATCTTGTGGATACAAAAAGTCCACGTGGATACAAGGGCAGACTGGATTGACCGCTTGGAAAGCAGCATCACTGCAAGTTCCCACAGCTGGCTTCAGAAGACCCTTGAGTTTAAAACAGGCAGCTTGGGGCATATTGGTGGGATGTCACATGTGCACTTGTCCTCTTGCTGTTCCTCCCAAGGCAGCCGCCTGTGACCAGCTGCTGGGGACAGAGCTGGGCAGGATGAAGCCTTGGTCAGACCCCTTGCAGACAGGCTGGTGGTCTCAGGTTTTCCTGCAGTCACTGCCAGCGCTCGGCTGAGCAGCCACACTAGGCTTGGGTGAAACAATCCCAAAGGCTCATCTGTCTTTTCATAAATTACAAACCAGAAATCACGAGTCATAAACCTTACTATTTTGAGAAGGAGACAAGAAAGTTATGCCTGAATTTAGTTTCTCCCAACTCATGCATGGCTTTCAGAGGGCTCTCAGGCCTAATGCACACACGTGACAGATCTGCTGCAGGTGACCTAAACACAGCACGCACAAATAGCGGTGCCTGACCAAAACCTTCTTGGGGGCATCAGATCTACTGGAGCTCCTTCACATCTGCAAATCCTGACCAGCTGCTTCTGGAAAGAAACTTCTCCAGGAAGCTCTGGATCAAGTGGCATTCCTCTGATAGCTGGACAGCACATGGACCAACACTTGCCCAGGGAGGAGATACCCATCAGACCAGCAAGGCCAACAGGACCAGGACCTGCTAAGCACACGCCAGTTGTTCCTCCGGAGCATGCCACCTCGGGGGACACAGCTCAAAGCAAGGCACCCGCCTTGATAGCCCCCTGCAAGACTAGAGACACATTTCATGTCTTTATTTGTGAAACACAGCACATGGAGATGGTCCTACTCTCCTACTTCAGACTTGAGTCTTAAGGCTAAACTTGTAAAATTTGAGCAACAGGAATATCCTGTAAACACTCAGAGAAAGGACATGGAATAGAACTGTAACTAGTGAGCATCTTCAGGGGGGAAAAAAAAAGGGAGAGGATGTGGTTTATTTACTTCTTTATCAAACTACGCAGGACCAACTTCAAAGCTATGTGAAGATGCTCAGGGCCTTGTCCAGTCTAAGTGGGGGCCAGACCAGTTTATAAAGCGATACTGAAGGAGAAGTACACAAAGCCTGCCCTGAGTGTTCAGAGTAGCACAAAAATCAGCTATCCAGAATAATTAAGCTGATTTGTACCAAATGAGCTCTGGACGAAAAACAGAAAACCACAGGATGGGCAAATTTAAAAGTCCAGATTACAATTAAAAAAAAAATAATCAGAGGTGGGAGGGGCTGTTAGAGTGGAAAGAAAGCATACCGAGCTAAACTGCCCTCCTGCTCACACCTATAATTCCCACTAGGTATCATCTCAGCACAGTTGTCTTTGCTGGGTTTTATTTATTTGTATTCAAACCATCTCCGGACTGCACACGAGCAGAAAAGGCAGAGAATTCCTACGACACATTTCTGCCACACTTTTGCCCAACTGCAACTCACTCAAAAGATCACAAAAATCTATTGCAGGCGATGCTGTATCAACACTGTGCTTACAATACCGCTGGCTTTGGATGCTGAAAAATTGCTTTCAAAAACATTTACAACGTAATGACTTATCAGAGAAAGAATAGGCAGGGAAGGGAAGCTGTTAAACCAGCCTGCTCAAAAAAAGCATGAATCTTTTCGATTTCAGGCAACCAGTAATGATGTTAATTTAACAATATAAAAATATTCCAAGGATCTGTGCTTACATTTATCAATGGCATCACAGCACTGGCAGATACCGATTACTGCATTCACAAATTCAAAAGAAAACATAAACAAGGAAAATCTTAAATTTCCATTTTCAACCAGTCCTGCTTTCCTTGGGAAAAACAAACAAAAAACCTCAAATGAAAAACCCAAACAAACCTCCTCTCGGAGCACCACAGACACATACCTGAAGCAGAATTGTGTTTCCTTCATAGTCTTGCGTTTGCCACCTGGTGCTACTGATAGGAATACAGGGGTTAGGCAGGAGAGGCACCAGCTGCCCCATTTCTTGCACCTTGAACTGCAAGGCTGATGACTCCTTCGGCTCGGCAGCCACCCCGACGGGCAGCTGCTTCAGGCAGAGCTGCACGGCAACATTTTGGGTTGCGTACAGCACAAAGACACAGAAGTTACTTTTCTGCAGAGTTGCTTCTTTCCGTAGGATCATCTCGTAGAGTCTCACTGCATCCTCATAGTTATCAAAACTGCAGTAGAGGGTGACACGCAGGATTTCGGGGCCACAATGCACCCGCCTGATACCCCACACAGGCATCTGGTCATCCAGGCCGTAGAAGTCCTGGTGAGCTGGGGCATAGGGGTGGCTTCGCCCATGAGCAATCTGGACGCACTGGTAGCGCCAGGGTGGATGCTGGAAGAGCTCATGGACCTGGAAAATCCGTGTTTCTCCCAAGTCCTCGTGTAGAAAAAGAAGAACAGATATTCCAGGAAAGCCACAGCTTCTCTTACGACATCTCTCGTAGTATTTCAATGGAGTAACTCGCTCAGACACCAGGAAAAGCCGAACCTCTGGGCAGATCCACTCCAAAAGCTGATCCAGAGTTTGCTGCAGAAGCAATGAGTGTCCCAAATTGGTGAGAAGATGCACAGTCATGAGAGAGTCTGCCCTGTCATCCATTGCAGAGGTTCCTGACAAAAAAATAAAAATAGTCGAATTGGTGCCTTCCCTTTCCTTCTCCCACTGTTGGCGCCTCAGTAACACGAGGGGTGCACTGTAAGACTTGGAATGAATTTAATCTTCTACAAGCTTTGCACTAGCCCGATGAAATACGCAGGTCTGCACGGTTAGCGTACACGAGGTGGGCGAAGAGCGACAGAGCGTTATCCGAGTGGTCCCAGGTAACTCACATCGCAGCAGAGCTCAGACGAAGGCTCATTTTCCGACTGCAAGGCTTGAGCGCTAGGCACTGTGTACCTGCCACCAGCGTGTCCAGGAACACCTCTGCGTCCTCCAGCTCCTGTCCTTCGCAGGGCAGGGCAGCTGAGACGACAAGAACCGAAGCACAACAGCAGTAATTCTCCAAGATGAGATGACTTTGTAAGCACAGCGCCAGCAGTGGAAACACACGCTCCGGATCCGGCCGAGTCCCATGGGCGCGCATCTCTCTGCGGTCACCACGTTTTGCAAAGGCAATGGGGCACTCGTGTTTGAAAACCTCAGCATATTTTCTCATAGTTGGCAGGCTAGGTTTTAGCTCGTTGTAAAAAGCTTGTGATCTTTGCAAGTCACACCCTTCTGGGGCATACAGATAAGCTACTCTTTAAAAACAAGGAAGGAAAACAGACTAACAAAAGAAAAAAGAAAACCCGTATGTGAACACAACAGATAACAATAAGGGCAGATATGAATCAGCCTCAGGAAAGAGGAGCTTTGGGAAAAAACCTCGACTCCCAGTTAGGCGCTTCACCACACGGGTGGCTCACTGCCTGGCTGGAACCCAGCTCCTGGGTCATTACACATAGCCCAGAAGAGCTGGCTACCAGGCCCTGTTCGCCTCTTTTTCCTCCTCCTCTTTTTTTTTTTCTTGGTTTTTTTAATGCTGAGATACCCAGGTAATCAGCACCTTTCAGCAAATTTCAGGTTTTTTTTCCTTGCTCCTTGGGTTTACATATTGGTACTTAGTTTAGTTTACTGTGTAGACTACAACAGGAATGCTGAAAATACGCCTCTTTCCAGGCCTCTTCTAGTGTCTAGCCAGTAAATCACACTGTCCCTTCATCTCCTCGTTTTGCCAACCCAGGAGCAACACATGCAAGCCAACAAGACAGCCCCTGTTATCTGCACAGAAATGCTGCCACCACAGCCAGTATTTAAAGCAAAACTGGCCCCCCCCTAATGATGCACCCAGCTCCACCTAATGAAAAGCAACACCTCTCTCTGCTGACACAGCAATTTTCCTCTCAAACAGCCCAGCACACAAAGCAGTGGCTTGCTGTGCAAAAATCCCAGCAAGAGTCCGCTATTAAAAACTCTGAACTGCCTTTTTTTTTTTTTTTTTTTTTTTTTTAAATACGGCCCTAGTTTTTTTTCAAATTGACAAAA